AGGGGAGATGTGTTGAAAGATTAAACACTGCTATTCAACAAATAATATAAAATTCTTGTGTAGGTAAAAGCAAAAAACCACATCCTTTAATTTCCAGATCGTACCATTTAATTTTTGAGAAAATCTGTGATTCTTTGCTTTCATTATGCTTTTCTTCTTTTAAGTGGAATATGATGAATAATTTACTTGATTTACAAGCTTCTTGAAATAAGACAGAGGTTAGCTGAATGTCAATGAAGCTGATGCTGGGTAGCATATCTATCTCTAATACTACCAGTTACTGCCCCTTACACAGTTTGTAACAACTTGAAATGTTGTTTCTCAAAAAAAAAACAATGGAACTCTTCATGTATGGTTGAGTGTCAGTATCCTGTGGTATTGTGGTTTTTTTTCCTTACTGCTCCATGTTATCACAGGTGCCATTTTTGTATGTTCTCTGAAAATATTTTTATATATGGTATAATACAGTGATGTGCTTTTATTTCTGATCTAGAAAATGCTGGGGTTTTTCTCTAGAGCATTCTGCTTTTAAATTGCAACAGTCACATAAAGAGTTGGAAGCAAAATAATCTTGTTAATGAGCTGTCAGTAGTGTTTTATCTTCAGTCCCATTTATGAGTTTTTAGAATTCGCCATTATTATTGTAATGCACATGGATAATTGTATATTATAGAATTTGATCATTGTTTGGTTTAGTTTTATATGCAGGAGGAAATGCTCAAGGTGTTCATCAGCTAAGACTGTTTTTTTAGGTCACTATTGAACTGTACATGGTAACAAGTGGAATGTAAAATGCTGCATAATCTTCAGTGTAAAACTTCTGTATATGGAGTTTGATAAATGTAAAACGTCCTGTATTTTTTTTAATGCGTTATATTCTTAAATTGGTTGCAAGGATGGTAAGAATAGGAAGTTTCATGTCTCTGTATGCACTTCCCAGTTTTCAGTGTGTGTAATTGTGAAAAATGCATATTACATGATTGGCTCTTTGCAAATATTAAAATAAAGACTATATGTGTTATGTTGGAAAGTTATGTTGTATTAATCTTTTTTTAGTAGTGGTAAATACAGCTTTTGGGCTATAGCATAATATTAAAATAGGAACTATGTGATGTAAGGTAATTTTTGTAACTAGCTCAAAGAATGGAAAAGATAGTCAAGAAATTCTTTGCATATTTGGATAAGAGGTAACAGCAACAAGACACCAAAATCTCTAGAGAAGAATTATTGCGTCCTTGTCAGGACTATTCAGACTTTTTCCAGACTTCAAGGAGCCAAAAGAATTGATATACAAGATGGGGGCAGAAATTCAGCAGAAGACATCCTTTGTTTGAAAAGAATATTTGCATCATGTATGAGATAGATGAATATGCAACAGGCTATTGCTTTTAAGGGTTAATCCTTTGTTAGTGAGGGTTGTTTCTATAGCAGAGTGCCAGACACATGGATGTCCGTAAATCTTTTCTTTTTATTGTCCTTTATTGTCCTAACTCTGTCCAAATTCCTTTTGCTTTAATTTTTAGTACTATTTTTATAACTATTTTATTACTATTAAACTTAAAATTTTAAAACAAGTGATTGGTGGTTTTCACAATTTGGTGCCATGACTTGGATGAAACATTTCACTGCCAAAACCTCGGAGGATTTCAAGTGAGGGAGGCATGCCCTGCCAATTTTGACAGCCTCACTCTGTTTCTTCTGGTGTGATCAGCAGATGCAGGTCCCAACCAGTGGACAAAAAAGAGACAATGAAACAAAGAAAAGGGAAAAGGCTCCCTAAAACTATGGTAATTGGCCTTCTAAGACTAACAGTGTACATGAAGACCTGGAAAGGAAAAAGGATTGCAAGTACTTTTTTGGCAGGGCGGATACAGGAGAGTGTGTGTGTATCTGAGAGGTGAGCTGGTTATCCCAGACCAGCCAAGTGAGTGAGGAGTCTCCCACGCTGCAGTTTCATCTTTTTGCAAGAAAAATGGCCATCAAAGAGATGAAGTGAGTGGTAAAAGGAGTGAGAACCCAAACATTGGGGAGGTGGAAGGGGTCAGGGTGGAGGCCTACACAGACCAGTGATTTTCTGGCAACAGGGGTCTGCTTCCTGTAAGTCTTAAGACGTTTGGTAGCATTTCCTTCTGTCCAATAAAATGAAGGGAAAGGTATGGAGTACTGAACATAAGTCAGTGCAGAAACTTAGGGGTATCTGTATTTAAGGTTCTAGGGTGTTGAAAAAAAACATAATTTAGATAGTACAAGTGGGTGAGGCGCCAAAAACTTGGTTAAGGAATCGAAAAGTACGAATTAACAGGCTTGAAGGTGTGAATGAATGCGTGTGAGAATGAGTGAGAAATAAAAGTAGATTAATGAAAGTTTATATATGTAGATTGTTTATTTTAAGCCTCACTTTAGCTCCTTGGAGGGAGGTGAATTGTATTGTGAGAGAAAGGTGTTTTTTTACAGGGGGAAATAGGTGGTAAATTGGAGAAAAGTGGGAAACAGGCAGGGAACAAATAGGTGAGATCTTGAAAACTGGGACAGAAAACCAGTAAGTTAGCATACAGGAAAAAAGGTACCAGCAAAGATACCCCAAGATAGCCCTCTGGGAGTTATATTAGCTAACTGGGATAAAAAAATCCTTGTACAAGGAGAAAGGACAAGGTAAAGATGATCCCACTTTGTATGAATGGGCAAAGAAGGAAGTAAGATCTGACCATGTTTATTGGCCTAGATACGCGGCCTTTTTTTGAAGTTTGGATTTGTCAGGTTCTACATTTATTTATAAATTCAAACGAACCGTTTAATCCAGAAGAGAGTATGCTGTATGCTGGATGAGAGATTGTAGGAGAAGAAAAATCTATAAGATATCAGAAACGCCCAAGACAAATCAAGGAGGAAAAAAAAAAAAAAAAAAAAAGGGGGGGGAAGAGAAGGGCTGGGAACAAGAGGGAAAAAAAATGCCAGCTTCCATGAGCCACGTTGGGGCTATCCATGCTCTGGCTTTGTTCTGACAGAAAGATCCCCCTCCTTTGGGGGCTCCAGCAGCACTCCTGCCTGCGCCCTGCCCTTCCCTCCCCTCGCCCCCTTCTTCCCATCCCTGCCCTGGCTCCCGTTCTCTTGGTAACAGCAGCTCCTGCTGTTTAAGATAACTCTCTCCCTGGAGAATATCTGCCTTACTGAAACACAAGAAGCTCATTAAAAAGACAGCCCTCCTGATCTCTAAAAATGGGAGAAAGGCTATAGAGGAAAAAAGAAAACAAAAAAGAATAGGATGAAGGGATTAGTCTATTTCTGTTATGAGAGTTTCCAATGGGAGGGGGTGGAACGGGGTTTGTAAACACTCCTTTGACTTCTTCTGAAGTCAGAAATTTAAAAAAAGAAATAAAAGCAATTCTGGAAGATCCCATAGAAACAGCTGAGCAATTAGACCAATTCTTAGGTCTAAACATTTATATTTGGGAAAAGATGCAATCTATAATGAAAATAGTTTTTTCTAAGGAGGAAAGGCAACTGATCAGAGCAGCTGGAATAAAAGTTTGGGAAAAAGAAAACCAGCAGGCCCCCCCCCAGCCCCAGATCAGAAAGTGCCAACAGCACCTCAAGATTGGGGTCAAAATGATGAGGAGGGGAAGAAACACATGAATGATTATAGTAAATTGATAATCAAGGGAGTAAAAGAGATGGCACCCCAAGGGCAAAAACGCTAAAAAAGTTTTTGAGGGACAAAAGGAAAGAAGAAGCTCCAACTAAATAGTTAGACAGACTTAGGAGAAATATGGAACAATATTCTGGAGTAGGCCCTGAGACCTGTGGGACAAGCTCTCTTAAGAATTAATTTTGTCACAAATGCCAGGCCAGATATTAAAAAAAAAACAACCTGGAAAAATACTGAGGATTGGCATAATAGGCCATTAGATGATTTATTAAAGAAGGGTCAAAAGACTTATGTTCAGAGAGATGAAGGAAAAGATAAAGCAAAAATTATGGTAACCACTATATGCGAAAGTAATTTCTAGAAGAATCTAAAACCCTCAGGCACCAGTCCTAGACATAAAAGGAGAAAAGGGAAAGGAAAAGAACAGAACTCCAGTCCAACCCATATCTCAGGAGCATTCTAGAAATACTTGTTTTTACTGTAGGATCAAAGGACATTGTAAAAGAAATTGCCCTAATCAAATAAAAGATCTGAAAATCTTCCAAGAGATGGGCAGAGAGGAGGAATAGGAATATTTGCATCATGTATAAGATATATGAATATGCAACAGGCTATTGCTTTTAAGGGGGTTAAGCCTTTGTTAGTGATGTGTATTTGTTTATGATAGATGAGTAATGTGATGATTGACTCTCACAATTAACAGACAAATATCATGTATATAGGTTAAGAAAGGTTTTATCAATTTATAATTATGTTCTGCCCCCTCCTGTTGTTATCAAGAGACAGCCAGGGTATCTGGGAGGGTTGGGGACATCTGGGAGGGTTGGATTGTGACTGGCGGCGAAGGACAGAACCGTGGGCGGGGTTAAAGGGTTAAAAGGCAAAACCTCCTTTGCGTGGGTGAGCACGTGGTGGGAAAAACCCATTGCTCCTGGCGCTGTAACATTTTTTCTATTCAGTCTTCCGTTGTATTTTTGATATGGCTTAATAAACCTTTCAATAATTGCGAAAAGTGAGCAGCCATTTTCTCACATATGGCAGAGTGCCGGACACCCGGAGGTCCGTAATTCTTTGCTTTTTATTGTCCTTTATTGCCCTCTTGATTGTCCAAATTCTTATTGCTCTAATTTTTACTACTATTTTAATAAGTACTGTATTATTTTTACATTTCGGCAGTTTTGTAGCGAGCGGCTGGCACTTTCCGCAGAGATGGAGCGGGTCTGGGGGACAGCGCAGACCGCCGCGCGGCTCGGCGCCGGCGGCGCTCCCGTCAGGCCGCGCGGCGGGCGGCTCCGCCTCCCGGCGGCGGCGCGGAGCGAGGGGCGCAGCGGCGCCGCGGAGCCGGCGGCCCCGGATGGCCAAGCGCCGCGCGGAGCCGCTGCTGTGCCACGCGCCCGTGAAGCGGCTGCTGCGGGACCCGCCGGCCCGCGCGGGCGAGCGGCGGCCCCGCGCGGAGCCGGGCGGCGCGGCCAAGCGCCCGCTGGAGGAGGCGGAGGCGCCGCCGGGGAAGCGGCTCGGGCCCGGCGCCCCCCGCGCGCCGCCGGGGGAGGCGGGCGGCGGGCGGCGGCGGCGCGGCGGGACCGCGGCGCCGCAGGGCGCGCCGGCGGCGGAGGGACGCGCGGGCGGCCGCGGCAAGGAGCGGGCCGGGCCCGCCGCCGCCGAGGTACCGTGCGGGACGGGTCCGCGGCGTTCCTCCGCGGGAGGGGCGGGGCGGGAGGGGCGCGCCGGCGTGTCCGCCGCGGGTGCCGGCGGGCTCGGTGCCGCCCCGCCCCGGCTGCGCGCCTGGCCGCGGGCGTCTTCAACTGCTTTACTTCTGTGCTCCCCGAGGCACGGGAAGTGTTTACGGGTTCCTTGCCCGCCCGTGCCACGAAACAGCCTGTCCGCCGTCCCTCAGGTTGTGCTCGGCTCCGTCCCTCCAGGAGTGCGGGGGAAGCTCGCAGAGCTTTTTCTGGTGGTGCCTCTGTTGGGTGAGGGTCAGGCTCGCTACAGCGTCAGCCTCCTAAACCTCGTGGTTTGACATTTAGAGCTATCTTTTAACCTCAACATTTAGCGGAGGCGGTGGGCTGAGGAGAGGGCATCAGTGTCGTAATGATTAGAGTATATTGAAACGAGTTTTCTGGTTAACTTTGAACAATATACGTTGTTCTTCCTGGCCTTGACTGCATTTTACACAGTAGTTCAGCAAACAAAATTTGGTGCATATGAAGAAAATCGTAATAAAAAAAAACCAAACCAAAAACGCCGCACAACCAAAGCAGATTGTGATCAGATTTCACACATTTCAAACATAGACGTTTGGTACGTGTTAAACTTACTTTTCCTCCCACCTGGATCTTGAAAGGCTAATCTATTAGATTCAGTGATACGGAAGTGACAGAAAGTCTCATCAGGTTAGATGGGCTTTGGTTGGCAGTTGGAGACTGATTTTGATCATTTGTGGCCTCGCACGGTATAACACCCACATACAATCTGTAAAGAAAAGAGTGGCTTTTATTTTTCATGCTCTGCATTTTTGCGTTTTCTTGGTTGATTGATTTGTTAGTGGGTTTTATTCATGATGGATGCTAAAATTAAGGCAGGCAGACATTCAGAAAAAATTATATGTCATATGAATATTATACAGCCATTTTAAACACAAACATTTATTTTTGAAGACAGACCACGTATATTCATAAGCCTAGTAATTTAAAAAATTGAACAAGCCTCTACAGAACAGTTTGACTCCTGTCACAGGTATACTTGCTTTTGGTGTTGCTTGGCATAATTTTGTAAGCTTTAGCAGTGATTGGAAAGCCACAAGCCCCTTGAATTTCCACACGTAAAGATCTGGTCTCTATAGAAAATATTTTTCTAGGTTTGTATTTTTAACTGATTGTTTCTCTTAGCACAATATTGCATAAAAATGTTGTCATTTTAAAATAAAGCTTGATTAACATTTCAAGCTAGAGGTATTTCTTCTGGTTTTTATGTGTCCCACCTGTATATTTTAAATGCTTTATAATGATATTTCTGATTATGATTTTTATACCTTTCTGAAAATACAATCTCTAGGTTAGTATTATTCTTTGCTGTTTATGGCTTGTGTATTTCATTACATTAATAACTGTGATCAGGATACTGTTAATTTCACAGTGTTTTTGTTAAAGTTTAAAGCATCATATTGCAGTTGGCCAGAGAAGAAGGATTTTTTAAATTCAACGTACACGTTTGCAACTAGAGTTGGAAAACTAACTCCTTAAATATTATGCAACTTAGTCTATATAAACTGAGCTTTTTTATGTCTGAGCTTGCCTACCTTGCTGCCTACCTTGATAGAATTTCTATGCAAAACCTGTGTGGAAAGTTACTTGGTTGAACGTGAATATCTGGTGGTTTATTTTGCCTTCTAGGTACAAATATTTAGCACTTGTGCCTGTCTTTTGTACTTTTTTTTTTTTTTTTCACTTTCACACTGCAGTGTTGTTGATCTGTAAACCTGAAAGCTTTTGAGAGTAATTATGCATGCAGTCTTAGTCCAAAATCGAGTACATGTTTATGAACTCTTACACTCTAATAATTTTGAAATGAGGTTGCTGTCATTCACTTTATATATACAAAGCATGAGGGTTCTGATTTTAAGTACTTAGTGCTCAGTTTAAAAAAAAGAATTACTAAAATGTCAGGGAAGTTCAAATAATGCAGGGGAGAATTTGTAAAAGTAGTTGACAGTTTCTGAAACTTATCAGCTGAGATTTTTTCAAAGAATTTGGTAGCCGCCTGCCCTGCACAGTTCTGTGTGAGTGATGCTGCCTGTGTTGCAATACAGACTGGAAAGTCATCCTTTCCACACTTGTCAATTGTTGTTAATGCTGTGCTGTACAAACCTTCCAGTTTACAAGAATGGGCAACTACTTTTAGTTTGGCTTTCTTCCAGTTTCAGTATAATCAATCCTTTTGTTCCTGTGTCACGGTGTAATTTTATTGGTTTTGGTCTCAATTAATGGGAAATTTTGTTCTTTAATATTTTCTAAGACAAACTTTCCCAATGAGGAAATTCACATCAGTAGTATTCTACAGGCAAGGAGGCATCTTACTGCTATGAAATGTCTACACCTTTCATCCTCTCTGAATTATTATTGTCATGCAGGGCTTTTGCACCAGGAAGATGTTTCTGAGTATGACAGATTGTAGTTCAGGAGAGTTCTGTTTGGTAACAAATAGAAAAATTGATTCTTTAAATGAGACATATGGTAATTTTATGTACTTCTCTCTTTTGGGAAGAGTGGAGAAAGCATAATTTTTCAGTATTTGAGAAGGTGTAGGGATAGTACTCACTACTGTTTTTTTGGGTTTTTTTTTATTCTGTTGCAAAACCAACAGACAAGTAATTAATATTTTCAAGAGCCACACTGCAGAGGCCCGTTGAAGTTAATTTAGTGTGGATTGCAATGGTGCTTTGACCCTCCACAGGCTGCACGTCAGTATCTCAGAAATACCAAAACAATTACATTTTATTTGTTAAAAATACTTCTGTTCAGCATCTGTTATAGCTGAGACAGTGAAGTAAAATATTTAAAAATTCAAATTGTATGTTAGGAAAAATGCAAACCCAATATAACATGGAAATGCATTATTTTAGGTTTGTGTCAGCATACACTGTTTTTATATACCAGAAGAAGATACATGCTCATGACCTAAGGAATGACTTAATTCATTCCTCTTCCTAGATGTATCATGTGCATGGAAACATGTACAGTTTGGCCACTGTTGATAACTGTGACATGTTTATAAACAGGCAGTGCACTTCTCATAGACATTTAAGTGAAAATTAAAATTGTGCTGCCATATTAAATTAGTAGATGGAGATGTGTTTGTTTCTCCAAGTTTTTTTGAGATACTATCTAGTTAGATAGGTTGGAACATTTGTGCTCATAATGCCAAGGTTTAGGTTTTACTCCCCATATGGAGGATTCATTTAAGAGCTGCATTTGCTGATCCTTGAGGGTCCCTTCTAGCTCAGAATATTCTGTGATACTTAAGCTTTCCTCCCTTGAATACAAAATGTGGATACAGAAAAGAAAAAATAGAATGTTGTTTAAATACTATAAAGTGTTTTATTTATCCTGTATATATCATCCCTAGGAGTTGCTGTTAAGTAGCTAACTAAATACATTCTTTTGAATACCAGTTTTTCAATGTACATGAAAATTGTATACTATTATGAGAAGAAAAAGCAGTGAGCCATTTTTGTATGCAAAGTCCAGTAATTGCACAAGTTTTACAGCTTTTTTCTGTGCAGAAATCATAAGCTGAAGAAGTGTATGGAATTATGGAATCTGTTACATAATTCTTTGCAAGAATATTAAAAAAGGCAGAAGTAAATCATGATCTAGTTAAGAATCATAAAGTAGTTGTTAATATGAAATAGCTGAGTAACTTCCTAGTTTCAGTTTCTCATATAAAAAAGTTTCTTTTTCTTATTTTCTGCTGCTGATTCACACATTAATGTTTTGTTAAATTTTTGTTTATTTGTCTCTTTTCAAAGCAAGAAGAAGAATTCTGTCAATATAACTCATTCCTGTACTGGAGACCACCACTGCCTGCTATTGATTTGTCTGATATTCAGAACTTAGATGAAGAGACTCCATCGACTGCTAAAACTGCTGCAAGGACTGATACCTCAGAGACTGAAATGGAAACCTGATCAGTTGTTTCATAGCTGTGCGTCTACTCCCAGGAAACTTGTTTCCATTGAGATTCGGGTTTTGTTCCTTGGGTGAATAATAAGCATGCTTAAGCAGTCTTGGAGAAACTGTTGTGGCAGTCTTCAAAAGCTAATCTGAGTTGCCTTAGTGTATGGGATAAACGGTGTAGGGTACTTAACAGGAAGCTGTCCGAAGGTGGGCAGTAAGGAGGAGCCTGCAGTGTAATAAGAATACTTGAAGACATGGAGGCAGACTAAAAGAAGAATATAAAAAAATATTACTTTGGGATGCAATTAAAAAAAATGGGGATATGTTACATGTCTAAAGGAAATGCAAAATCATTCTGTCTGTCCTGAGCAAAAATCATGTGGTATCTGAAAGTGAAATATATAATGTGTGAATTTATCATAAAGCACACAAGCTCTAGTGATTTCTAATGTGTTTTTTTTTTTTCTGTATAATAGCTAAACCAAAAATTAAGAGTCCATCAAAATCGGACAAAACATTCCCTTTTCTATGCAAACCAGAAACCAAATGTGGCAGAAAAAGGGAAAGAAAAGGGGCTGCTTTCTGCTGAAAGCTGCTGCTGTTCTGAAAGGTATCACATTCTCATTGAAAAAAAGATTTTTCACCCTTCTCTTTTTCACATTACAGACAGCTGTAGGCACCCAGTTTTTTATGTTTTTGGTTCATTCTAAACTTATTGCTAATTGTCTTTGTGAAGTTGCTCTGAGCTAGTTGATAGTATCTGAATGATAGGTTTGGGCAGATATGTCAAGAAAAGTTAGTGCAATATAAGATGACCACACACACTCTTTCAAACTATACTGGATAAGGTGTAGTTTTTGCAGAGACCAGGAATCTTGCAGAGAGTTTTTGCAGAAGCTCATTCAAATAGTGTTTTTTTTTGCTGTGAAGTATAAACTTAATGTTTGTGATTTGCAATTTATTTACAAATTGAAGTATAATTAGAAAGACATCTTTAGTAATAGACTGAAGTTGTATGGGAAGACTTACATTTTGGAATACAATTTGTCTTTAAGGATAGAAAAAGTTGTATTTTTTTCTGTAATCACTATCGAAAAAGGCAACGTTTGAATTTTTTTTTTTTCTAATAATGTGTTTGTTAAAGGACAATAAAGTTTTGCCTGTGTGTAATGTGAAAACTTTGGCACTATTACTGTGTGAAGTTCTTGACTTTATTTCATAAGATTGCTGCTTCTGTATCTTCATTGATTTATTAGGTCTTTTTGCTTAAAATAGTGAGCATGTCAGCTGTGGGAACCCCAGCCTTGCTCTGGGGTCCCATGTGGTGGTGAAATTTCTCCTCCAGCCCGTGCTTCTAAAGAAAAACTGCGCAGGCTCTTGCTGTTCGGTCTCAAGGCAGTTTATTGTTAGTTATTTTGTTAGTTTATTGTTGTCTTCTCGGGCTGTGGCTTCTTGGTCAGTGGCCTGGGCAGAGGCACACACACACACTGACATCCTTTCTGTCTGCTGTCTTCTTCTTCTCTCCCCCCGCCCAGGGCTGCTGCTATCTTTTATATGATATATTACGTATTACATGTTTATAGTTTTCCCCCAATACCTACTACCTCTATTACAAAGTGCTTTTCTACTCTAAACCAATCTGTGAGTGCCTACATCACCAAGAACATGGAGGCAAGGAAGAAGAAGGAGGAAGAACAGGATCAGCCTACTTTCCTCCATCTTAGACCTTTTGACCCCCATGTACAAAGTAAAAACCCCTCTGTACAATACTAAAAAGAATTCCCCTCTGTTTTGTAACTACTTTTACTATACTATCTAGCCTTTTGTGACTGCTTGTTCCACCTCCAAAGTTGGTAACTCATTCCATGGCTCAAACTCAAAATCACAGCTGTTTCCAGCTGCCTGCCAGGGTCTAAAATGCTTCTGACCAAGGCCTGGAACCTCTAAAAATGTCTGAGAGACATTTTGAGTTCCAACAGTCAGCCTCCTTGGTAAACACTTGGAAAATTGTGAAATTTTTTCTGACTAGGTATCTGTGTTTGTTGTTTATTCATTTAGCTTTTTGAGATCTCTGAATACCTTCTGAAGAAAGGAGGTGGCTTAGAGACTTAAGCAGTTCACGGTGCATCTTTGTATATCTTGCTTTCTGTCAAATTAGTTGGATACATATTTGAACAATATGTATTTGTCTCAGACAGTTTAAACATACAGTTTTAGTCCAAATACACCAACTTAGGAGGCACTTTGAAATTTTTCCCAAAAACAAACTCCTTTTCTGGCAAGAAGGCTATAAAACTGCTATTTCATGTTTACTATAACCAAAATAAATTAGTGGAAAAATAGATCTATTAATTTGTTGAAGTGTTTTAATTGGTTATATGACACACATTTTGACCCTATATAGTACATGTGTTCCTGTGAGTTTATAATATTTCAGACCAATCAGTCTTCTCAGGATCCAGTATTTTGCATTTTAAGTTAGTATCTTTCCAACACACTTCTCAGTTAAAATTTGCTTGGTTCTTCACTCACAGTAGATACATCCTAGCACTATCCTGCATTTTATTATTAAAATCTGTCATTCCACTCTGTTCATGGGACAGAAGATGTTTTATTATGGTCTTTCAAATACATGTTTGATCTATCCCATAACCAGATAAATAAATCCTTTACAACAAATTAAGCTTGCAGTGTGCTGTAAGCCATATGTTTACTTCATTTGCAATTGTGCTGTAGGCAACCACTTTCCTCATAGTTTGTTCCAGTTGTGGACTCTGTTAAGGCTGGAATGTTATGGCTACTTTTAGAGTTTCCTGAGCTGATTCATTTTTTCCATTCATCTCTTTGCAAATAGAGGTAAATTTAAAAGCCTTGGAAAACTACTTGAAATTATTCTTGAGAGTGGGTTATACAAGAGGCTGGGGCAGTAATGGGGAGTGATGACAGATTGCATAAATTTTAAATTAGAGCTGACAAAAGGTACGATAAATCGGATTTCTCAGTGTCTGGTGTTTCCAGATGCCATATGACACTGAACTACCAAATTGCTGGTCTTGACTTCTGACCCCATTTTTCTAGAGGCTTTTCATTCATAAGCTGCATATAAACTATATGTAAGGTTAGAAGTTTTAATTTGTATATACATGAACATCCAGTGAAAAGAAAATGTTTTCAGATAATGTTTTAAGAAATGTTTTAAGATAAATGCCATCACACATTGAAATAATTTGGTAGCTGCATACTGGTTGACAGTTTTTATTTGGTATGGTTTTAAATTTCAGAATAAAAAAAAAAAGTATATTTTCTGTAGTTAACTGGGAATTTGATATTATCTAAACCACTTTTCTCTAAAAGGAAAAACCAGTGCCAAAAGCTTAAGAACTTGTAAGGTGTAAGCACATCTAGACACCATCTGGGTTGATCAGGTGCTGCATCAGCCAGTTGCACAGTAAGAGTACACGCATAATAGTAAGTCAGATACAGGAGTTAAATATGTTTCCAAGTAGATTTAAGTAGCAATGTAGCATGACCAACATTTAATAAATATTTTGCATTATTCTAAACTAAAGGCCTGTTTTAGATTGTCTGATAGGTGTTTATTGAAGGCCCGCATTAAGTTTATGGTTCCTAAGATAGATAGATAAGCCTCCGGGAGGAGATTAAAGCTCAGTCCACATCCAGAAAGTGAAGAACTACTATGAAAAACAGGCTGCAAAAGTTAACGTGTGTTGGTAAATAGACTGGTAGAAAGAAAGGGGAAAAAAGTGGAGGATGGAAGGTAGGTGATCATGAAGTGACTCAGCCTGTGAGTGCAGGTATAGTTGGCCATCAGATCAATGACAAAAATATTTTCAGCATTAGCTCCATCTTCCCCACAGCAATATTACAGTAATTTGAATATGGTATCAACTAAATGTAATAATTTTTTCATGGTTTGCTGGTTGATTTTTTTCCTGTTGGCCAGGAATTTAGTGGATGTTTAAAAAGCATTCTTTATATAGGGACTTGGAAAATATATGGGGTCCTTCATAAAGAATATAAAATTGTGCAAATGTATATATTACCAGGTGAAACTAAAGATAATTACTATCCAGCATTTTCCAGCATGTTCTAACCAGAACAGGAGATTCATTTGCAGAAATTAATGTATTCTTTTTTGAAAGCCTCTGACCACGACTGTGGGAAGAGAAGTTAGACTGCAGAGACTCACTGTTTTCTACAGCAAAACTTATGCTTGAAGGAGCATTTCATAATAACTGATATGCTTGGGTTGGCTTAATTACTTCCATGCCTACAGTTATAACTTAGACACTCTAGGTGGCAATACACATTCACAGTAAGTTACCATGAATCTGGAAAATGTTTTGGGTATACTTTTATTCCAGACTGCTACTGAAAATTCAAGCAGTGACATCATGAATGCTAATCATTTCCTTACTTGATACATAAATAAGGGCGGATCAACTCACAAGTCCCTGATCATAAGGTGACACAAAATTTTTAGCATAACTAGAGTAAAAACATTGTGTCAAGGAGTTTTGATTCATCTTTTAATTCTCTCCGAATCTCCTCATCCCCCAAAAAACCAAAAGCAGCCGACCAAACCCAGTTATCAAATACATGGGATTTTGTTGTCACTGCTGTGTATCAGAGTTTGCTTTGGTTAGGCCTGGGGAGCAAGCTTTATGAGATTGCATGTTGGATGGAAACCTCAGTTGGTGTCTGAAGGCTACTTGAAGTGTCCAAGGTGAGGAAGTGTCTAATATAAGGAAGAGAAAGGTAAGTGCTAATTCAAAAGAAACTAACTCACAGGAAATGTTTGTGTATAGATATTTAAATGTTTGTATATAGATAACTATTTGCAGGGTATGAAGAAAATTAGAGAAGGAGATACTTATTTTCCTATTTCCTGTTTAAAATTCTACTTCATGCTTTTTTGTCTTAGAGAATTTGATGGTGCTGTATAGTATGTTTTAACAGTATATTTTCATTACTGTTGCATTTGAAAGTAATAGTTTCAGTCAGTAGTAGTTTATGTTTTTAATGTTCTTGGTGAAGTATTCTTGTATTCATGACATCTTAGTCACATCTAAGGACTTAAAAAATATATTGTTCTTTCTTATCTTAAAGCCATACAGATAATGTTTTCCCCTACTGAAGGAAAAAATAGTGATATGTTTCCATTCCCAGGGGAAAAAATGTGAAAGCCAGATGGAAGCAAGCTAAATTTTTGTTTGTGTATTTAGTTTGTTTTTAAAAATATTGTGGTGGATGTTTGTTTTCCTGCTTTTGCTTTGTCTTATTTTACAATTGTAAACTTTTGAAAGAAGGGATATGGGCTCGCTAAGCATTAAATTTTCTCCACTTTCCTTATGTGAATGCTTGCAGTTCATATTTGGATTAGTATATGATTAATTGAATTATTTACCAAGTATGAGGTTGAGAAAATTAAACAAAAATAGCATTGTACTATCTGCAGTGAAGTTTAAGCTAGAGAAAAGCCTTTCATGCAGAGCTATGAATGGAAATGAACCATTCATTGTTCTCTTGCCCAGGTGAATTTTGTAACGTCTTTCATTTGAATAGTACACAGATATTTTTCTACCTAAATTGAAACATAAATTGTATGTGATCTACTCAGAGTGTCAAATACCTCTCTCTGAAGCCTGATACTACATGCTGGATATTTCCTTTTGATGCTTCAACTTGTACAGTATAGAAATTGCTTTCAGATTCTTTTAATTCCTGGAATTAAAAAAACAAAACCAAACAAAAAAACCCACAACCCCCTCCCCCCCAAAAAACCCCCAAAAATCCAAAAAAACCCCAAACCAATCAAAAACCAACCACTTTATTTTGTTTCTGATTACATAATTATTTTGTAAGAACTGCTTTGGCATAAAGTAAGTTACCAAAAATCCTTTGGTTTCATGATCATCAGTTGGAAACCACAATTTTTTTCAAAATCAAATAATCACAAAAGGTTGCATCTATGTATTCTATAATAGTTTTTCTTCTTTTACCTTTATGAAATTGAAGAAACTTGTGATTGAAAAGAGGAAAATCTACTTCAGACAAACCTCTGTTTTTCTAAATATGTAACATGCAAGTGCAGAGACAACAAAGACAGCTTTTAATTGTAGAAATTTAACTCATAAAAATAATTCTGAAGTATAATTG